CCTTTACAGCTAAGTTTATTTATTTTATTTATTTTATTTTTTGAGACAGAGCCTCAAGCTGTCCACCTGGGTAGAGTGCTGTGGCATCACAGCTCACAGCAGCCTCCTGGGCTCCTGTGTTTGTTGTTTGGCGGGCCCCTCCTGGGCTCCTCTCCAACTCCTGGGCTCAAGCGAGTCTCCTGCCTCAGCCTCCCAAGTAGCTGGGGCCACAGGCACCCACCACAACGCCTGGCTATTTTTTGGTTGCAGCCATCATTGTTGTTTGGCAGGCCTGGGCTGGATTCAAACTCACCACCTTAGGTGTATGTGGTTGGCGCCTTAGCCACTTAAGCCACAGGCGCCAAACCTATACCTAAGTTTAAAAATATCCCAGTCAAAAGGGTCATTCAGCAAGTATCTGTTGAACTTCTAATGTGGGGGGATACAAAGATGGCTGAGAACAAGCACACAGTCCAAACGAAGAAAAAGAACATAAATAGCTATGATTTAAGATTTAGGGAGTAAAGTCCCAGGAACAACATATGTAAGATAAGGAAATCTGTAGGAATTATTTGGATCCAAATTAGAGGAGGCAAAAACAACCACATTTGTTAAGAAAAGAATATAGGGCCAGCACAACGTCTCATACCTATAATCCCAGCACTTTGGAAGGCTGAGATGGGAGGATCACTTGAGGCCAGGAGTTTGAGACCACCCTGATGCAACATAGTGAGCCCATGTTTCTATTTAAAAAAAAAAAAAAACATGCTAAAACATACCATTAGGAAAATTGAGCTAAGTTACTGCAGTAGCTCCAGAGAAACACAGCCTCATAGATTTATTTTCTGACTTGATGTGTCACGGAACACAGCAACCTCTTGAAGTTTCCCTTGCCAAAAACTACAGAAGTTTTTGGGTTTGTGCTACAAATAAGTGGAGAAATAGAATTCTTTTTACAGAAATTCGAATGAGCCCGTATCTCTTTTGTATATAAAAATTATAATATCCTTCTTGGTGACTCTTCTCCAGCTCTAAAAAAGGACAGAAAGTAAAGAAATGGTACTAACCAGCGTAAGTTACTCTTGAGATTCCCTTTAGGATGAAAGGAGCTTGCCTAAGGACTGCCAAGCATCAGAAATGGACAATTAATAGAAATAATAAAGTCTCCTACCTGGGTTCATTTTAAAAGTTGAAACATAAAGATTTGACAAGATAACACCAAAGGGTAGGATGTAAACTTATGCATTCTGCCTGGCAGGCAAATTGTAAGTAGATAAGTTTTGTGGCATTGACAACAATTTGAAATCAGCCTGCAGATGAGAAGTAACCTCTGATCCAAATCTGGAGAATCAGGAATGCTGATGTCCCCCCTTTTGTTTATATGCCTAAAACCCTGTTCTGTCTTTCATCCTTACAGCCAACAAACCACCTGCCAAGCTGTGACGCGGAAAGTTTTCATGCAAGGGGAGTTTCTAAAGATTAAACACATAGTGATGGATGAGACTGAGAATTTCTGCAGTAAATACGGTGACTGGTACATGAAGGCTAGGGACATCACCCATCCAAAGGTGAGAGGGGCTGGAAGTGAAAGCCTTCACCGTGGGGTGCTCTGGATTTTTCTGGACCCTTTGCAAGTCCATCACACAGATGTCAATGGTCTTCCCCCTCCATTTGCTCAATTTCCTCGAAAAACAGTCGCCAGTGGGATCCACCGTGCTTGGGAAATAGCAATGGTCTTGAAAGAAGAAATGAAAAGAATCAAAGAAAATCCTCTCTCCAGCATTTCTCCAGAGGCACTGGCCTTGTTCAGCGAAGCTGCCTATGGGGAAGGGATGTGTGCCCAGGCTCTGCCTGGAGTGTACGAGGTAAAGACTAACATGACACCAGAGCAAATAGCTAATTACGTGGCAGGACGATGTCACAGCTTATTCCAGCATGGCTATCTGCCCAAAGATGTAGCAATTCTGTGCAGGAGAGAGGAGGACAGAGGACGCTATAAGCTTGCGCTGCTAAAAGCAATGAACTCAATTCAGACTCATGGAGCATCAGGGGTTGTGTTCAGCCAGGCCACTGATGTTTGGGGCAGTCACATCACTTTAGATAGTCTTCGGCAGTTTTCAGGCCTGGAGAGGAATATTGTGTTTGGGATTAGTCCAGAATGTGCCCAGTCAGAGGAGTTGCATAAGCTCTGCTTTGCCTCAAGAGCTATTAATCACCTCTACCTGCTTTATGAAAAGAGGGCGGCCTCTGAACGTCATTAGAAATAAGGCAGGAAGTCAGGAAGGGCAGGGTCCACTCACCCAGTCAGGGGGCAGCCGCTCCTTCTTAATGCTACAAGTAAGGAAATCAGGCACACGTGTATGGCCTGGAGCCACAGGAATGGCTCTTGGGGCTGACACTTCCGCTGTATTTGCAGTGCCACTGTCCTTTTCTCAGTCCTCTTCACCTCCTCCCTG